TGAATTGTAGTTTTCTTTACCCCAGAAAAGGCCCTTTATATTTAAATACTTTATATTTACATCGAGGGGGTCCTTACTACTGAGATTTTTACATTAGTCCAGACTGGACAAACTAAACACCTTTTGAGTTTTTATGACAATTAGAGGCTGCCACAGGTTCTTGTTCATGTTTGGAAGGAGAGGGTGAGGTGAGGGGTGTTCAGCTGCAACAACTTCAACACTAGATATTACTAAATTCTACACACTGTACCTTTAAGTGATGAATCAACTCAAGCATAGTCACCACCTCCTCAGGTGAAAGTATGTTTTTAAGTAAGTGAAATCACCTTTTCAGAATTGTTATGTCCCCTCGTGTCCAGGGGAAACTGGAGACAAGAAAGTATACGAAAGCACTCACATCCAAACTTGATCAACTCTAGATGCTGGACAGAAGCGAGGAAAACCAGAAGACACAAAATGTCTGCAAACCATTGAATGCTCCCTTAAACACAGCTGTAACTTGCAAAATGGCAGAAAATGTGATTCTGTAGTCTGTACCGAAAATATTACGGCTAAATATTTAAGCAGTTTTCTGTAGTGCTGCTCATATCCATTTGTTTGAATCACTAAAGACATAGTAATAGAAAAGATGTGTTAAAAGTGTCATAGTCTGCTGCTATTGTGAATCCTAAATAAATGCAAAATTGAAAACATTTTCCAATCTCTAAAATGTTCTAAATGTACCATATTCCTTATGATGACTAATCACAGAACACTTTGACGAAATAGCCATGTCAGGGTGATTAAAAAGTACATAACACAATGAAAGCACAAAGTCAAATATCATTCCAATGTCCTCTTATATGATTACAATACTATGTATGCTGCTATTGTTAAACTTCACAAAAGATATATGCCTTAAAAACATATTTCGGGAAAAATCTTCACGTAAATCTTTATAATACATTCAAAACTTCATTAAGTGCAACATTGTTGTCCATCAAGAACACTGGAAAGATGTATCTGGGAATTTCATGGGAAGAAGTATTTTTATACTGCAGCTCGCAATTTACAATCAACTGGTCTACTTCCTTCAAACAAGGAGGCAAACAGCTGATAAGACTGAACTGTGCTATGGCCATAAGAGATACTCTATAATAAAAAATAACAGTCATCATATTAGACAATGTGAGCTATGTTTAGGTCTAAAAACTCAATTTCAATAGCGAACAAACTGTCTCACATATTTATACTATAGATACACCTCTATTCATACATTAGGTACAAGTCTGTTTATAC